TTATCAAAAACTGGAGCATAATGCCCAAGCTCTTAAATACTTAATTTGTGGTCTTGGTCCAGCTGAACACAACCGTGTTCTAGGATGTAAAACTGCAAAGCAAATGTGGGATTTGCTCGAGGTTACTCATGAAGGTACCTCACGTGTAAAAAAAATCTAAAATTGACATATTTATGCGTAATTACGAATTATTCGTAATGAAGCCTGTAGAGTCAATTAAGGATATGATTACACGTTTTAGTAATATCATTCATGAGCTTTCAGCCCTTGGAAAAGAAATTACTGTGGAAGATCAAGTGAGAAAAATCTTGAGAAGCTTGCCCTCGGTATGGAAGCCTAAGACCACGGCTATTGAGGAAGCAAAAGACCTATCCACCATGACTCTTGAAGACTTGACCGGTTCACTCATGACATATGAATTAGGATTTCAAGAAGAGCAGGATGTTGAGACTGTAAGGCGAGAGAGAGGAATTGCTCTAAAAGCTCGAGAAGAGGAGGAAGAATCCGAAAGTGAATCGGAAGATGAGATGAGCATATTTGCTAGACAGTTTGGGAAGATGTACCGTCGGTTCAAAAACAACAGGAACAAACAAGGTAAAAATAACTTTCAAGCTTTTAATAACCAAGGCTGTTTTGTTTGTGGTTCCTTCGAGCATAGGCAAAAGACTGTCCACAAAAGATGAATGACCGAACCTATATGACAAGAACAAGTCCAGTTCTAACCGGAAGTCCAGCAAAGACAAAGGGTTCAAAAGAGATCTCAAAAAGGCAATGATGGCAGCCTGGGGAGACTCATCCGATGACGAAGAAGAGGAGAGTGATAAGAACTCTAACCATACGGGTCTATGTCTTATGGCACACTCTGACGAGGAATCCGACCAAGAGAGCTTCGAGGTAAACTTTGAAAATTTTCTATCTAAGTTTGACTCTCTATCCAAAACCAAAGCTCGGAAAATTTTCAAAAGATTGACTATTGAGCTTAATCAAAACCTTTCTGAAAATGATCATCTTAAATCACAAATCACTGAGCTTGAGTCTAAACTCGAGGAAGCCACGAGAGCCAAAATAAGGCTTGAAACAAAAGTGGGAGAGTTAATAGATGAAAGGATTAAGTACAGTGAAGTGGTTTTAGAACAAGATCAAATCATTTGCTCTCTTAAGCTTGATAGTATGAACAAACAAGTTAATCATGATGAAAAACTTCTCTCAAAAATTCCGAGCGTTGGTATTTTGATTGATCATCTTCATCGTCTTGTAGCCGAGTGTACGGATTTTAAAAAAAGACCGGAATACCAATCCTATAGTGCACAGAACAAAACCAGGTCTAGACCCTATTCTGGAACAGGTCCCCCTCTGCACAATAAAAAGGAAAACGAGACTGCAGGTCTCGGATATATTCCTAGGGACACTCAAACTAATCAAAAATCAAATTTTCAGAACCAACCCTTTAAGGGTAATAGAACCCGAGGACAACCCAGTTCTAGACCATATCAACAGCCACCTAGAACTGGACCAAACTGGTTCAATAGACTGGTTCAGAGGCACAAAAACGGTTATGGACAAACGCCTAACCGAACTTTTCATTAAAGAACAAGAGGCTTTCATGGTAAATGGAAAGCTAAATACGTTAGTTGATACTTATGACAACCGAGTTTGCATGCATTGTGGCAAAATCGGTCATCTCCGGTATCAATGTGACTCGACAAAAGACCTTAGAAAGATGTTTTGACTATGTTCGATATCCATCCTCAAACAAATACAAAATGAAACCCAAGCAAGTCCGGGTTCCACGTGCTAACCCGTGATTCAGGAACTGCGCCAAGTGAGGGGGAACAATCACTGGTTCCTCAGCAGTGGTTGTTCTAAGCACATGATTGGAGACTCATCTTTATTCCTCTCACTTCGGCCATTTAGTGGTGGGAAGGTGATATTTGGAGACAACAACAAAGGAGAAATTGTAGCCATGGAAAAAACCGGAAAATCACCGAACCATTCAATTGATTTTTTTAGGTTCAATTTGCTAAGTATCTTTCAATTCGGTGACGGAGGTAACAATGTTATTTTTAATAAAGAATATGTGCTTATAATTGTTGATGATTTCTCAAGATATCCTTGGACTATCTTTCTTGATAGTAAGAAAGATACTTTTAATGAGTTTGTTATTTTTGTAAGGAAAGTTGAGCATCAGATAGGGGAGCAATTAATTAAGATCCATTCGGATCATGGGATCGAATTTGACAATACGCACTTTGATACATTCTGCCAAGAACGAGAGGTGGTAGAATGGAGAAATAGAACACTAAAAGATATGACTAGAACTATGTTCATCTCTAGTGGTCTAACAAAGAATTTATGGGCAGAAGCTCTAAACGCGGAGATTGCACCAATTCCATGAGAAAGAGGGAACCAATCATGAAACCAATCGGCATGAGGAGATAGGAACAAGAACTGTCGATAACATGCTTAGAACTGAGGATATACCCAGTCAATCCACTGCAAATTAGACTGAAGAAAAGGCAGACTTAGTTCCAGACGACTTGTGTGAAGTTGTAAATCATCCTCATGCTCATAGAGGATGGAAACTTCATCAATCACATCCTTTGGATAACCTCTTGACCGATCTAAATCAGGGAGTAACTACTAGATCTAAGAAATTTTTATGCCTTCTTTGCTTATCTATCACTTATAGAACCGGAGAACCATGAAGTGGCTCTCTCCGAAGCTGACTGGTTCTAGCAATGCAGGAAGAACTAAATCAGTTTGAGAGAAATAAAACATGGCATCTAGAACCAAGACCCGAGAACAAAAACGTAATTGGTCTCAAATGGGTATTCAAGAACAAGCTTGATGAACATGAACAAATACAGATGGAACTTGGGTTCAAGCTATTTATTGTTTTGTTGTTGACAAAAGGGGGAAGAATATGTACCCTATGTGTTCTATGCTCGATACTTTGTGCTGATTCATTATGAAACTAACTTTAGGGCACCAAATGTTTGTCATCAACAAAAAGGGGGAATTTGTTGGAACATATTGTTTTGTTGATGACAAACGACTAGTGTTACTTTTGGTCTATAAGTGATTGCAGGAAAGGAAAATTAGTCGTGCTTTGGAACAATCCGTAGACCTGAACCCAGAACTATCCTACCATCCAAAACGGACATATACGTTTTATTAATGACTAACCATGCAAGTGAAACAAATGATAGAACTCTCAAATAACTAACCATGCAGGTGGATGAAATGGTTCTTGGACAAAACCGTCCTAAGTTATTTGTGCAAATTAGATACTTGCTTGCATAAATATTGTTCATATTATTTTACGTACCCTAAGTTTAAATATGTGATAAAAAAGCTTCATGGGATCTTTATTATCACATATATTATGGAAAAGATTTTCTTGGCTATCTCATTTGTCTATATCATTAAATGATTTAGTAAAAAAGGTAAGTAGGAATGGACCGTTGCTTCCTTATTTTAGTAAGTGATTAGTTTATTTTCTTGTCATACTAACTGCTCTTGAGCAATCATTTGTGATTTATGATCCACACGTAATCACTGACCACAAGTTCAAGATGGAAAGATTTTCAAAAGCTATCAAGGCAAGAATCATTATTAAAAAGGAAGGTTGCTTCAACGGTCTGGTAATTAAAGAGGGTCTTTATAATCGAAGCAGCAAAAGGGAAATTGTGAGGGGCTTGACCGAGAAAATATCAAGAGAAACACTCAAGAGAAATACTAAGTCCAAGGCACCTGAAACTGCTCTCGGAGTTCTAGACAGAGTTCTTATTCCCTTCTTATATTGTAATTGGGTTATTGGGGACGAGCTAAGTGCAGCTTCCCCGGGTTGGGTAACGTGTGTTGTGAGAGCTTTGTTGTAAAGCTGAGAGGCTCTCTACCCACAAGCAAGGTAGAGAAGCGTAACTCTTCCTAGAGAGGATAGAGTTAGGGTGGCTCAAGGGTAGACTAGGAGAGTTTCCCTTGTAATCATTCAAAGACTTTTTAGTGAAGTTGTTAAAATTCCTCCGAGGGAGGTCGAGATTTTTTAATCCCTTTGAGTCAAGGGATTTTTTCCTCGTTAAATCCTTGTGCACTTTACTATTTCGCAATTCCCTTTACCCCACACTAGAACTTGGCGAAAAACTGTCACAGTTCCACACACACACAATTCATCCCCCTCTTGTGTTGCTAACCGTTTTCATCAATTTCATTTCATTCCTAATTAACGCTAGTAGGTCCCAAAATTATTACCGTACGTAGCTTTTTCACTTTTGAGTTTAAACCTGTGAAATTAAGAGCCCGTTTGGTAGCACGAAAATCAGCTAATTTGGCTGATTCTGGTGAAATTTATGAAGTTTTGGCTGAAGTGGTTGCATTGGCTGATTCTGCTGATTTAAGAAAAAAATTATTTTTAAAATATATTTCATTAATAAAATAAAGACAAAACTATATGTAAAAATAGATATAATGGTCATCTACAATAACTTCACCCAATATAGCCAGAAAAGTAACTTCAATTCAACCTTACTTTTTCTGCTTAGTACACAATTCAGCGCGCGAAAGCAACAGTTCGTTACGTGTTTGGTGAAAAAGTTGGTTGATAAGCCTGAAAAGCCGAAAAACTAACGTCAAACGGCCTCATAAGATCAAAATTAAAGTGAACTAGCTATATACTTGTACTACGTATTTCTGGGTAATTTTCCAATACTTGAGTGACCATTTTTTTCCCAAGACTCGTAGTAGCTAATAACCTTAGATTTAATTTCTTTTTTGCTTCCCTTCTCAAACCACTTAAAGAACCAATCAACAAGCAAAGGTCAAGAACGACCTAATTTGTATACGTCATTGGATTGCTTTCTGATAATATAATCAATGGCTCTAAACTAAACCTGGAAAAAGGAGCAAACAGGCCGGGCTCCATCGCACATGGCCGGAGACAAGTCTTTTCCCTCGCTACCTTCAAAACCCTCCATTTTTCAGCAAGAAATTAAAGCTAGAACCAATGATCCTTATCGGCATGCATAACCAAGTAGTAGACTATAATATGCATAGAAACTGTGCCCTTTCCCCATCGACGGCCGCCGCCGCCGCTGACATCCTCACTACTACCGCCAACAGTGACGGGAATTGGGCGGAGAGACTCATCAAAGAATGCGCCGTCGCAATTTCCCACAAAGACTCCGCCAAGATCCACCGCCTCCTGTGGATGCTCAACGAGCTGGCGTCGCCCTACGGCGACTCCAGCCAGAAGCTAGCCGCCCATTTCTTGAAAGCCTTGTTCTGCAAGGCAACCGAAACCGGCCCCCGTGTTTACAAAACCCTCATTTCGATCTCCGAAAAGAGCCACCACAGCTTCGACTCCGCCCGTAACTTGATCCTCAAGTTCCAGGAGGTCAGCCCGTGGACAACTTTCGGCCACGTGGCGTCCAACGGGGCGATATTGGACGCCTTATTGGACGGGGCGGGTGACGTGGCGGGCAACAAGCTCCACATAATTGACATAAGCAACACTTTTTGCACCCAGTGGCCGACGCTCCTCGAGGCTCTCGCTACGAGGAGCGACGAGACACCGCACCTCAAGCTCACAATCGTGTCAGTTAAAGCCCCCACGGCTTCGTCTTTGGTGATGAGCTCGCTCATCACCAAAGAAATATCCCAAAGGATGGAGAAATTCGCCCGGCTCATGGGCGTACCGTTCGAGTTCAGCTTCGTGAGCGAGGTTCGCCATCTCGGAGAGATAACGAAGGAGATGTTAAACGTGCAAGACGATGAATCGCTCGCGATCAATTGCATCGGAGCGTTGAGACAAGTCGCGGTGGATGAAAGAGCGGGCTTTCTCCATACCATCCGATCTCTCAACCCGAAAATCGTCACTATTGTTGAGGAAGAAGCTGACACGAGTGGTGAAGATTACATCAAGTGCTTAGAAGAATGCTTGAGATTCTACACTTTGTACTTCGAAATGCTTGAGGAGAGCTTCCCAACTACAAGCAACGAAAGGTTGATGTTGGAGAGGGAGTGCTCAAGGAGCATACTTAGGGTTTTGGGTTGCGACGACAAGAATCAGTCGGCGCAGCTTATGAAAGATGATGACGACGATTATTATTACGGCGAGAAAAGAGAGAGGGGAGGGAGGTGGTGCGACCGCTTCCAGGAGGCGGGATTCTCGCCGTTCGATCTTAACGACGACACGGTGGATGATGTGAATGCATTGCTGAAGAGATACAAAGGTGGATGGGCTCATCATCGAGCACCACAAGGAGTGGGAGTGAACTCTAATTCATCATCTTCTTCATCCGGAATCTTCTTGACATGGAAAGATGAAGCAGTGGTTTGGGCATCTGCTTGGAAGCCCTAACTAGCTAGACTTGATTTTTTTTACTAAGGCTCCGTTTGGAAGGTTGAAAGGGAAAGAGAGAAAATCGGGATGGAAGTATAGAAGAATTCGGAAAGAAAGAAAATGTTGAGGAATATCAAATCATTTTTTAAACTCAATAAATGTTAATACTGTTACATCTACTAACTTACATTTTCAAGTTTAACTTAGAATTTGGGGAAAAAGTGTTTTGATTAAAGTTTATTTAGTGAGAACTGAGAAAATATGTATATATTTTCAAATTTCAATTGAAGTCATGCATAAGTATAGTAAAGTCCTGTTTAGAGAATAAGTTTCTAATATATATTCAATGAGAAAATTCTACTCCGTATATATTAGAGTAAATCATTAGACATTACTTACATAGGGGTTAATTACATTGTTTTTTCGAATAGACAACTCTTTCACTCATTTTTTAAAAAATGCCATTAGTTTTTATTTTTTTAATAGGATTCAGTAACTCATAGTTTTTCAAATAGTCATACTTCGTACTTAATCATATTTTTAAATTTCTTTCAATACTTTTTCCTACTTAAAGCAATTTCAAGCTTTAAATGAATAAAAGTCATGGTTACGTTAGCAACTTAGCATATCTTCTTTCAAATTAATAGTCAATTTCTGTTTCTCAGAAAAAACAATGTTTCTATTTGAAAAATATACGGAGTATTAAATTTCGTTTAATTAGATTAGTGAATTTTCTACAAATACTAAACACTTGAAACATATGCCGAACTGCTGAAAACATTAATCTTGTACTACGAATCATTTTTCTCTATTCATTTGTTTTTTGAGAAAAGATTACTCGATCTAAAAATTAACTCCCACTCGCATTTTCATTCTTTTCACTAACATTTCGTGGGATTCAATTCTATCAAACATAGCTTAAATTAAAGCATATATTATGATTCTATCGAACACACCTCAAAATATTTCTTTCATGCTTTTTTTTTCACGACCATATATTCCATCATTTGAGCTATGTTCGATAGAATTTGTTCGACAGAATCATCATATAATAGCTTTAATTGATCATTCTATCGAACATATTTGAGCTATGTGCCTATGTTCAATAGCTCAAATAACGTAGGATTCAATAACAGTCATGTGATATCTCCCGCTAATGGAAGGACATACATATCATTATTTAGGGACACATATAAGAGCATCTCCAATGATTCTTCTTAAGGACTTGCTTGCAATTTTAAAACTAATAACTTATCATTGAAGAATTACTTAAAATTTTGCTTGAGAAAACTAATTAGCCAAAATGAGCTACTAACTTGAGCAAATAAATTATTAAATACTCCTATAGCATTATTAATAATAAATGAAGAGAAAGATGACATAGGTAACCATTGGAGTAAATTTTAATTTTGCTACAAATGCTTATGTGACTAATCAAGCTAGAAAGATAATTAGCTAACCGTTGAAGATGCTCTAATTTGCTTAGTCAGTTGGCCGGCTTGTGTATGCAGGCGTGGTTTTATTTGTTGAATAGTGAATTGGTAAGTGCCCCCAATAAAATTTCAAAACTTGAATATATACATAGTACTCCCTCCGTCCCGAAATAACTTTCCTGCTTTCCTTTTCGGTCCGTCCCAAAAAAAATTGTCTTGTTTCCTCTTTTAACAATAATGTGTGGGGCATATCAATTCACATTTTTCGACTCAAATCTCAACTACAACTTTTATCTTTTCACCACTTTCTTAAAACGTGTGTTAATGCAAACAAGACATTTACTTTGGGACGGAGAAAGTAATAAATTAGAAATTTAAATTTAGAAAACAACTTGCCCATAATGAAAGACAAATTAAAAGATTTCCCTCCACCTTTATAGAATCAAAGACACTTTTACAAAATTTCTTCAATTTCAGTAATTTCAATAGCTTTATAGAACTAATGACATGTTCAAAAGACTGTCCTATATATGGAGGAATATGATCAGTAGCAAGTTTATAAGAGTGCGTGCTTTTATTTAGTTTTCCAACAATATTCAATTCTCATTTTTGAGATCCAACATTACTTGAAACCTTGTGCTTGGGTGTTTGTGAGATAAGCTTCTTTTGCTTTTCCTGTTTTTGCTTTTGCAGTACTTTTTCTTCTTAAGTTGTTTGCACTTGTTTTGACTTTATTATGCATTCTATTTTGATGTGTTTGGATACACATACTGCTTCAAGTTTTCTTATGATTCAGTGAGAATTGAGAAATAAAATAGGTAATTCTTTAATTTTGGCAGAGAAATTTATACTGATAATTGAGAAATACGAAGTAAATAAAATAATTATGTTACGTTTTAATTTCGGACGGGCTTTTGACTACAATCAATCCAAACATTACTCATGTCCCTGATTTTTTTTATGTGTTACTCCCCCGTCCTTAAATAAACTTCCAACTTTCCTTTTTCGTCCGTCCAATTAAAACTCCCACTTTCCCTTTTTGGTAAAGAATTTGTGATTCACAACATTTCTTACACATTTCTCTTTCCTCTGCACAATTCTCCACCACACAATACCCACTATCTTAAACTGTGTGCCCAACCTATTTGGAAGTTTTATTAGGGACGGAGGGAGTACTTACTTCGTCTCTCTATGCTTGCATTGGTCGAGTATTTTTTTGTATTTATGATGTTTTTACGTGGACTTTAATTTGTTGGTCCTGTCTTGTCTGTTTAAGTCTGGTCTGTTTAGGTTTTGTACGTGTTAACTGGTCTGATAATGTCTGGTCTCTGTGAATTTTATAATTATGAAAGTCTTGTCTGGTCTGGTCCATTTAAGTGTGGTCTGATCTGGGACTGGAAACAGTCCAAGTAAAAACATCCTTAGAAAGTTTTTAATTATAATGTTATTTTCTAGTATAGTCTATTTAAGTTTGTCTGGTTTGGTGTTTGGATATGTTTGCCACAAGTAGCTGAAAAGATACTTTTGTTAGTTTTTTTGTAACCGTTAACTTTTAGTAAATGAAAAGATCTTTAAAGGAAAAAGATGTCGATCGTTGTTTCATAAAAAGCCGATTGTTTAATTGATTTAATTTTGTTTGGTATAACAACTGTTGTGATTAATTAATGCTAAAAGCTACAGACTTTCTCCGGATGTTACATGTCGTAGCTTATCAAAAAAGATACTAGGGAGTACGTAGTATTTTATTTTGAGAAAAACACTAAAAAATTGTGAACCAAACAATAGAAGTTTTTAGAGAATTTGTAAATAGTACAAAAGCTAGAGACAATGACACATATATACTCCGTATATGCAAAGTCCGGAAATTTATTTGAGTTCTTGATTCAAGCATAAACTGTTAAATATCCCACACCGGAAAGATTTGGACAGAGCCGGTCCTTCCCTTAGGCCAGTGAGGCTTGTGCCTCAGGGCCCCAAAAAAATTAAAAAAATAAGGGGCCCAAAAATTTAAATACATTTATATTATATATATGTATTAAAAAAACAAAAGCTACATTGGTTGTGTAGTTTAAATCATCCGATACAGAAGTAACAAAATATGCGGGACAATAGAGTTATGAACCAGGTAGTGAAGTACAAATATGAAGTCCCAAATTTGTCGATATGTTATTATTTCCAAAAATCTAGCTTTTAGAATGATTTGCTAATTATATTATTGTTTGGGATTTAAAGTATCTGCAATCTGCATAAACAAATGCTATTTAAAAATTAAAAGTAAGTTGATTCTTGTTTTACAAAGCAGTCAAGCTGGCTCGTGCCTTGCAAGTGAAATTTTATATTTGAGAATTTAGATCTATTTTTTATTTGAGATTATCATGAAAAAATTGTGTAATTTTCAATCCAAAATTAATCAAAATTGTGATTTTTTTATGTTATAATGTAAGAATTTTATTTAAGTATTGAGTTTTTGTGATATTTATCCTCTACTTCTAAATATGTTGTACAGAGTATTACAAAACAAATACTATTTATAGGGCCCTTTTATGAAAGTTCGACTCAGGCCCGAGTTTATGTAGGATCGGCACTGGATTTGGATGAACAAAGTGCTATATTAACACATGGGCTACTCCTCCTATCAGGTTGACCTTTTAGGATGGAACCTCGTGTCTTAACATAAACACATAAATTCAAAACATACGGAGTATATCTAAGTAGGATGCGTCCACTAGTGGAAAAACGTTGATTTGCGGCACAGCATATGCAGCGGTTCTATAATAAGCGCCGCAATATTAAAAAAATAATCAGATCGAAGACGCGCGGCGGTTATTATCTAGACAACCGCCGCCGTTGTTTAATTTTCTTTTTTATTTATATAGTCCGCGGCAGTTGTTAGTGTAGAAACCGACGCCAAAAAATTAAAAAAAAAAGAGACGGAAAAGTTGGAAGACGCGCGGCGGTTATTGCGTAACAACCGACGCAAACCGGTTCGAATTTTGAAAAAAATTAATGGCCGCGCGGCGGTTTTGTTATTAGAACCGCCACAAATTGTTTTTCCCCAAATTTATCTAATTAATACGCAGCTTCAATCTATCTTCTCGCCACACTTTCCAAAGCCAAGGAGTAAAAACGAGACAAGCTAATCCTTCAACCTAGGGCAAGCGGCGGCCGACTGGTGATCGGCGAGCTAGAGACGGACCTTGAGCGAGGCGGACTAGTGCGACTCACGACGGACGGGAGGTGGTGCATGACGAAGTCTGATGGCTTCGGCCGGCTAAAGGCGGCGGCGCTGCGACGGACGAAGTCGGGCTTGGACGGCGGAGGGCATCTTGTTGGTGGCGTTCAGGCCATCCTCAGACAGCCTACGCGGGCCGCACTTGGTGGCCGTCTTCTTGACCGCTGCTTCCGTAGCAGAGCTTGGTTCTCCCACCGGCGACGAGGCTTACGTCAACTATCCGCCTTGCTCAACTTAGTAGTTTTCGTTGCTAAACTTTGTAAGTTTTTAGATTTACTCCTTTTACTTATTTATTTGAAATGATTAATTATATGATTCCATTAACATTAATTTTAGATTGTTTATGTTTGTTCTAACAATAAGACTTGTATTTTTAATTTGCAGATATCATTGGATGTTAATTGTTATTTGTCCTGCGGTGAATAAAGGCTATATCATGGACTCTCTCCCGGGATCATGCGATATAAGCACTTTGCAGAAAGAATTAACGATGTATGTTAAGATCTAATACAAAACTACTAGTCTTTTTCAATTTTAAGTTTTATGGGTAGTTTTTTAACTCCATTGCATTATATAGAGCATTCAAGATTGCTTCTTCTTCCCAAGGAAACGGAAAATCTATTAAATGGGAAAATCTTAAGGTATATGGATTTAAAATATATATATATATATATATATATATATATATATGTGTGTGTGTGTGTGTGTGTGTGTATGTATGTATGTATGTATTACTCCGTATATGTCATGATAGAGTTTGCTTTATGCAAATAGATGTAAAATATTTTTATATGATTCATATTTCTTACATATTGAATGATATATTTAATTAGTGTGTGAGACAAGTTGGAGCGAAAGCATGTGGATATTACGTGATGCGTTTTTTGTGGGAGGTTTGCTTTGTTCATCAAGGAAGCAGTGATATTGGAAAGGTATCATTGTATGTACATTATATTGTATTATTAATAAGTCTCTTGTAATTATTTTTAATTGGTAATTTATTATCTTCTAATAGATTGCAACTATTTTATATTTCAGGATTGGATATCAAGGTCGGAATCATATTCTTCCGAAGAAATTGATGAAATTCGAAATGTTTGGTGTAGGCATTTTATGGATGTAATAATGGAGTTGTAGATTTATTTGGGCAAGTTGTTTGTGTAACTATGACTTTGTTATATCGCTATAATTTAGTACTTAAATTGTTATGTAATTTGAATTGATATGTTTGGTTTGAAAGAATTTGTATTAATTTTTTTTGTTAAACAGGTGATGTGTTAATAATTTAGTTTTGATTTAAAAAAAAACAATTTTTACCAATTTGTAGTTGTGTTTCTAAAATTTTACTATAAACGCGGCGGTTATTACGTAGGAACCGCCGCAAAATATCAATTTTTTAAAAAAAACATTACATATGCGGCGGTTATTAAAGTAGAACCGCCGCGCGTTCAAAAAAGAAAAGCTGCCAGATCGTATTCATATGCGGCGGTTTTCAGGAAATAACCGCCGCGAATATTTTAATTTTTTTTTTTTTTTTAAATTTTAGATCCGCGGCGGTTTTGAGAAATATAAACCGCCGCGCGTGAAAAATTTGCGGCATAATTGTCCGTGGCGGTTAGAACCGCCGCGCGTACGGGTAAAAAACCGCCGCAAATTAGCTTTTTTCCACTAGTGGTCGTTCTTCGTGTACATTACACGCCATACATGCAATTTCAAAAAAACCATTTTTTTTTGCGTTTTCAACGAATTGCATGTATACAGAGATAAAATAGTATGTGTATACAATTGTATGTACAAGAAGAATTTTCCGAGCTAGCCTAGCTAGCGGCTAGCATGATGTATATATATGAGCCAGATTCTCCTCATCCTCTCCTCTTTCACGTTCTTCGGTTAGTGAGCGAGATTATGCATCCTTGGTAATTGGTATAAAGAGTTGAATTGTTCGGGAAAAATAAATATCAAGAGCACCTTAGCTTGAAGAATCGAACTAACTCCTCTAAAAATGACATGAAAGATCGAAATAATAGAATAAGAGAAGGTGGGAATAAAGTCAAACAGGGTATGTTTAGCTAAGTCTTGTCTAAAAATGAAGAAAGTGGATTGCCTAGAGATCATTTGGCTGGGGGCTATTGTATATGTTGGAAACCAAAGCCAAATATGCTATTCATGTCATCACTGGACAAAAAGGCAACCATGGGATCTAGCTAGTTGTGCCGGCTGGATATATATCTGTATGCCACTATCATGTATGTAAATTATGCCCACATTTACGTACGAATGACTTCTTGCTCATGGGCTTTGGATGAGAGAAGTATTGGAAATCAATTATCATCCAAAACTCATATGTTCAGGTTTTGAGAATCTAAATTAATTAATTAACAGTAGTTAATACGAGTACTTAGCAAGTGTTACGAAGTATATACTACTCCCTCCTCCTGGCTAAGATCGGGACCATTTTTAGGATATGGGGGTCCTAGATAAAAAAATACGGAGTACTTAGTATTTACATACTATCGTATTATATTTATATGAGTTTTGAATGAAATAATTGTAATTTTATGACTATTTTAAAGTGTGTTTACAAAAATGTGACCACTTAGGAGCGATTGTATTTAGTACTCCGTAATGACAATGACACTAAAATGACTATACATACTATACTACTATGTAATTTTTAGTCATATTTTTATAGATAAGTTTTATTTCAATAATTTCTTTGGAAGAATCTCTTTCTATATCATTAAAGTCATTGTAAAAAAAATTATCATTAAAGTCACAAAAACAATATATCATATAATTAAGTTGAGCAAAAACACACAGTATGATAAACGAGGCACAATTGAAGTGCACCATATATTATGAACGTCATAGTTTCGGCAAAGGAGGTCGGAATGCTTTTATGTCTCAACCGCATTGAGAGATTGCACAGCCATCTCACTCCCGATTACAACTGGAGCATCCTCGATCATGAACCGATAGAAGAACATCTTTTGTTGTCACCTCTTGAAGTTTAACCCATTGAATTTCTCGGGTTTCTCCACAAAGTTGCTCGGCACGGTAACCATAGGGATTGCCCTTTGGTTGCCCAAAGCAGATGCTCCGCGTTGTGAACTATTGTTCACCGGAGCTCCGCTTTCAGAGTGAGTGTCATTTGGCACATTTAGCCCAACAGCATTCAGATTTTCTTTTTCTTTTGATCGTCAAAACAGATGGATTAAATTGATATCACATCATTTAGATAGGGGGTAAAATGACAAACGGACCACATGCAACCGTCAGCCCTCGAACCAGACTTAGAGCCAATCACCTCCACAAAAGCAATATAACTCGTTAATCCTATAATGGACATAAATGAGCCAACGACGGTTAAAGCAGGCCTCCCATCACTCAATCCTAATGCAAGAGTCTTACAACAATAAAATTAACCAACAGAAAAATAAACAGTCTCATCATGAAAAATAAATAGCAAGCAAACAGTAACATTAAAATACTGCTTCCAAACCCCAAACTCTCCTGCACTCCATGGCGGTGGTTCAGGAGGGGGACGGTCCAACAATACCGAATCATCTTCCTCTCCTTGCCTTCGGTCCAGATCTGTTCCAGACCCTAGCCCCATGCTTCATCCATGACCTTCTGATATCAACCATGCACGGCGTCCTTGAAACTCTCCACCTGCTGCTTGGGGTACACAAACTTAGGCCGCCATATAGGCACTGCGGTCTGTCGAAAAAAGAGCCTCATGAAGGCGGACAAAAGCCGCACAAGAAAGCTACACTTCGTCAAAGACGAAAGCGGAGAAAAACAACCCCTAATCCTAGGGAGACGGCCGCCTAAAGAACATTCTGATTTTCTTGAGAAACCATTTTCATTTATTACATTTTTCGAAAACACAAAAAAAAATTATGTTCGTTCACAACAGTGACAAACTACGTTTTAAGATTGTTCACCACGGTGAAACAATTAGAGAATACATTTTAAGATTGTTGGTTGGGAGCTCGGAAAAATGAAGAAAATTAATTAAAATAGCCAAAGGAAAAAACAGAAATAAAATGGAACAAAAAATTGGGAAAACTTGTGCAACGCACAATGTCCTTAAAATGTATTCATTGCAAATTGTTGTATGTTAATGGCGTATTAAAGGACTTGAATGATCAGCACCCCCCTTGCGCATGAAGAGAGCCTTTCCGGCTAAGAATCTTAACTCTTATAAGAGGGTTCCCTTTATAAGGGGGTGAAAATTCCTTGGGTTTTCCGGTGTGGGATAAATCACACTAGAAACCCATCATTTTCCTAGTTTTCTCCATTTCAACGAGCGAACTTCGAGAATCAATTTCTCATTAACCCGTTATCCGTTTTGAGTGTATCATATATTGAATTGTAGTCCTTAACAAGGACAGTCCGTAACCCCTTTGACCCGGCCCAAATCGGAAGTGGATCTCACTCAAAATATTGCCCAAAATTGACCATCTAATGCAATTTTTAACATATTTTTCAACAATAGCAAATGTTGATGGCCAAACATAGGGGTGAGACTTTTGAACCAAGATCTGGAAAATCGTTGGAACTAAACTGTTAAAATCCAGTTCGGTTCAATTCTTACACCTGAGTTATAGATTGTTTATGGTTCGGTTTCTCGTTCATACAAAAAATATGTCTAAAGAACCATTACGGAACCATTAGTAATAAAATAACAAAATTAAAAATATAAGTAGTAATAATAACATCTACAATAACAACGATAATAGTAACGATACTAGTAATAAAAATAATATAACCGATGACATTTGAGCACACAATAATATACATCTAACTGATGAAAATGGAAGTTATAATTGTATATGAGGATGAATACATTAACTAATTTTTACAAATTAAATTGTGTCACTATCATGTAAATTTCGTAATTGTAAACGTAATCCAAATAAATACAAGTTGGTTCCATGTATTTTTATTTTGAACTGATTAAAGCTTCAAAGAGTATTTACTCCTTGTTTTTTGAATTTCCACATTTTGTGTGGTAGAAAGTAAACTTTGTTTATTTTTAATGGGGAAAAAAATTAGGAATCGATAAAAGCAAGAATCGAACTGTTTATTATTGATTCGGTTTCATAACGGTTCTTGGTTTTTAATATACGAACCGGCGGACCAATTTTACTAGTTGTTGGGATATATTATCCCGGCCTATTACTATTCAGGAGCCCAAGACTTTATGTAGTACGGAGCCCGAGCAGCTAGGGCCATTTCGGCCCATCCGGCCCACTTCAGCCATTTGGGCCCACTCCGGCCCATGCGGCCCATTAGGGTGGAGAGCATCCCCTTCCCCTATTCTCTAGACCTGGACTCGGGCGGCCCGGCCCGGAACCGGCCCGGCCCGGTTACTGTGAGGCCCGGCCCGGCCCGGAGCCCGGTGGGCCCACCGGTTCGGTTCGGGCTCGGGCCGAGGTTTTGGCGAACCGGCCGGTTCGGGCCCGGTTCGGTTCGATTTTTAATTTTTTTTTTTTTTGAATTTTTTTTAAGTTTTGGGTTGGATTAGGTATTTTGGGCCATTTGAGCTGGTTTGGGGTAGTTTGGGGTTGAGGGGGAGGGGTTGGGGGTTAAATAGAAGAGCCAAAAAAAAAAAAAAATCCGGGTAGGCCCGGCCTGGCCCGGCCCGGTTTGGCCCGGAACCGGAACCACCCACCGGCGGTTCGGGCCCGGGCCCAACCATCCTGGCCCGAGGCCCGGCCGGGCCCAGGCCCGAACCGGGCCCGAACCGGCCCGAGTCCAGGTCTACTATTCTCTATAAATATGAGAGTTTCCCTCCATATTATGGATCCTTTTCTTCTTCCTCCTTCTCTCTAGGTTAGCTTTATCCTCCATTAATGGAGCTTCAACATTTGTAACTTGTAATGGTGAGGAGAGTCCTAAGGAGAATGAGAGGGTTTGGACATTAGCCTAAAAAGTCCCGTGGTTTTCTCCCTTTCGGGTTTCCACGTAAAAACTGAGCTTGTTCATACACATTCATACATATATTTACTATATCGTGTTGGATTAAACTCAACACTAGTTAAGTTTTTTATAACGGTTCCATTAATTTTATATATAATTCGAACAGATCCCCGGTCAAGCCAAACACCCCCTTAGTTTATTGTAATTAGTACAACAAATACGGAGTATGAAGAATTCACATTTTGCTTAAAGTGAAGTTGTAATACGATAGTATGTCCGATTACTTCTTTTTTTTAAATTAATTTTTAAAGTGATTTTTAAAGTGATATTAGTGAAAATGTTTAA